AGTGAGCCTGATGGGGAGCTCGAGAGAATTCAGGTGTTGTTCTTGCCTTTGAAAGGTCTGTTCCGTGGCCTGCTAGTGGCCTGGCATGTCCTACGGAGGAGCAGCTCTCAGCCTTGGTTACCTGCCACCCTTGTACAGTCTCCACACTGAGCTAAGCCGTTGAGAGGTCATGAAGAGGGAGAGTCATTCGACTGTTCTGCTTTGTCTAGTGGAGCCTCGCTGTGGTGTTCATGAAAATGTAATGCTTTCTGGAAATGCCTTGAAATGGAGTTGGAGAATATTCTGGTTTTCTGTGTTCCTGGTAGGATGTCATGTGAGGAATCTCCCCAGAGCACAGGGATGATCACAAAGCAAGTGAGAACTAACATGTTTTGCCATGTGAGTGGAGGTGTCCGGGTTTTGGAAAAGACACATGTATCCAGGATGTGAAGTGGAAGTCGGCCTGGCACGTGACTACGCGAGGCCCCGGGACAAGGAGGTGCTGCCTCCCATCCTGTCCTGAAGATGTGACGAGAAGACAGTTTGGGGACGGCATTTGTAAGGCAGCGTCTTTATTTTCATACTCTGTACACTTAGTTCAGGAGCATGGCGGAGCAGCAGCCTCAGAAAGAACCTTGCGTGTTTCATGACGTCCGGGACACTGAGCAGCACTCGCCCTAGGTCGTTGGCGGCAGGTGGCATGGTGGTCTGTCTGCGCTCCTGCTGACCCCGCTGAGTCAGGCACAGTAGAATCCTCACTGGCTCTGAGGCTTGTCCTCCCAGGCCTGTCCTCAGCCTGGAGAGGTGTGGTTTTGATGTGTGCTACTCTGACACCTCGTGGGTGGGGTGTTTTTTACCCTGGGTGTGTTTTGTTTCAGAAATCTGTACAGCTTTCTCAGGTTCACGGTAGGTTGTGCTGTTGCTTTGGTCATGTAAACTGGAGAAGCCGTCACCTTCCATACACTCTCTACATGTGACCCTGAAGTCCCATTTTGTTACTGCAGGCATGTCCACGCTCAGTACCTTTAAAAAAATTTTTTTTCTTGATTTCAGAGAGGAAGGAAAAGAGAGAGAGAGAGAGAGAGAGAGAGAGAGAGAGAGAGAGAGAAACATCAATGATGGGCAGCATCAATCGGCTGCCTCCTGCACACCTCCCACTGGGAATTGAGCCTGCAACTTGGGCATGTGCCCTGACCACGAATCAAACCATGACTTCCTGGTTCATAGGTTGACGCTCAACCATTGAGCCACACTGGCTGGGCGATGCCCAGTACCTTTTGAAAAATGCAGAATAGGTTGCTTTTGCTGCCTCTTATCAATTTTGTAGTAAAATTTTTCACGCTTTTCTCAGAGTGGTCAGCCGAAAAGCTCTCTCTTCCACTCTCATAAGAATAAGAATTAAGTGCAGTCTGATCTATTGAGACGTGGTGGGAAGGCTATGAGGAAAGTGGAATTCCACAGCCTTTCTGTTTGGCTGCTGCTCTGTCCCCACTTGGAGCAGCACTATATCATGTCTCTTCTGTGTGTATCTGTGTGTTTGTCCGTGTGTGTCTTGTCTGTGGGTGTCTGCATGTGTCTCATCTGTGCACATCTGTGTGTTTTGTTTGGAATCTGTCGTCTGTTCTCTAGAGTTCTGGCACTTACCGTAAGTTTCATTTTTGTGCCGAAACCAGTTTGGCTCAGTGGATAGAACGTCGGTCTGCGGACTGAAAGGTCCCAGGTTCGATTCCAGTCAAGGGCATGTACATTGGTTGCAGGCACATCCCCAGTGGATGTGCAAGAGGCAGCTGATCGATAATTCTCTCTCATCAATGTTTCTAACTCTCTATCCGTCTCTCTTCCTCTCTCTAAAAAATTAATAAAATATATATTTTTAAAAAAGGTGTGTTTATAAAAAAAAAAAAAAAGTGTCATTTTTGTGAAGGAAGTAGAACTATTTGGCTAGTCCACTGCATAATTTTAAACTGAGTTGGAATATCCCAAGTAAGTTTTTTACTTATGAAATTTCCAAACATTTATGTATCAGGGTGGCTGCAGTCAGCCCTAGGACTTCTCACTGTGATGCTCATGCCCATGTCCCCTGGGGTCCACTGCACCTTCCCAGGTGAAGGAAGCTGTGGGACGCCTGAAAAAACCTAGGGTGGTCCTGGCCAATGTGGCTCAGTGGGTAGAGCGTTGGCCTGCAGACTGAAGGGTCCTGGGTTTGATTCTGGTCAAGGGCACGTGTCCAGGTTGCGGGCTCGATCCCTAATAGGGGGCATGCAGGAGGCAGCCTATCAGTGATTCTCATCATTGATGTTTCTATCTCCCTTCCTCTCTGAAGCTGATAAAAATACATTTTAAAAATAATTTAAAAGAAAGTGAAGCCACACAACCAGTGAGGATTCCCAGATTCCCACGCCAAGGCGGGAGGGCCTGGGAGGGAGCAGGGTGAGGGCGGCACAGGACCCGCCTGGCCACACTCCGGAAGTGGCGCCTTGCTGTCATATTGTTGGGATGAAACAAGTGTGGAACAGCAGTGCTTGGAACAGTCAGGTGGCAATGCCTCACCAGCTCTCAGAATGAGCTGCTGCAGGCCTCCACGGCTCCCTCATGGAGACCAGTGTCACACTCACCATGACTCCCCATAAACTTTGTCTTTCTGATTGCTGGTGAAATTGTATACAGTTTTGTTCTTGATCCTCTCAGCTCGAAAGCAGGGTGCCCCCTCGGTTCACTCGAATTGTGTCTGCAGCCAAATCCTTACTGCTTCCTCTTACCTATCCACAGTGCAGGAAATGCCCTGCGTTACCTTCAGGAGGTACTGTGCCTGTTGGGCCGCACTGGGGGCAGAGGTGATGTGGAGGGAGGGGCATGGGGGAGACACAGGCTCTGGTCTGCTGAGTCTGAATTTTACAAAGCTGTGCTGGTTGTGGCCCTGGAGCGGGGCAGGCAGTTACAGTAAGGCGCAGATTAGCCATAAACCTTTATGGCTTGTGCTTGGCAGCAGAAAGTAAAGGAAGGGCCCAAAGAAGGAGGCGGAACCAACACCCTGCTAGGACTGCTCCTCACCACCCTCTGTCCTCTTGCACACCAGGTGCTAAGCCGTCTCCTAGAATTCTCCACACCTGGACCTCGAGGGCAGCTAGGTATGGGGTAGCTCCTGGGATCCGCTAGGAGCCGGGGGAGGGCGTATCCACCCCAGCCCGGCAGGGACAGATGTTTCCAGGTCCCTTTGGACTGACACTGCCTTAGGCAGGAGGCCCTGCCAAGCTCAGGGTGCTTCGAGTGTCAGATGCTTGCCTTGAGCCCTCTCTCCGTCACACCCCACCCACCCTCGCTTGCACTCAGCTCCTCTCAGCCCACTGTTCTACCCTGGCTGGAGTGCCCATCCTCAGCCCCAAGTAATACAGTGGCCTTGGCCTCCCTGCCTCCACCCTGGTCTGCCTGAGCTGTCCACACCCTGAGCAGCCCACCAGGTGATCCATGCCACTCTATGGCTCCCACCCACAGTGCCCTGCGGCCCCTACATGCGCACTTCCCCCTTTACTTGAAGTTTTCCAGCACACTTTTCAGGGACTGCCCAGCCCAGACGATTCCAGAAACCACCCTCCCTACCACACCCTCTTTATTCTTCCTGTGTTTTCTCTCCCCGCCCAGAACATCAGCTCCAGGAGGAAAGGAACTTTGAGTAGTCAAATAACCAACATCCACGACAACGTGGTTCTGATTGTAGAGAACTGGAGGCCCATCACACAAAATTTGTGCAAGAGTAGGCCTCCCTTCCCTTGGCTGCTGATACCCGCTTCCTCTGGCACCCGGGACCCAGGCTTCCCTCGCAGCCCTGGCTTTGTCCAGAAGGATGTCTGGTCTAATTAGCAACTATTATTAGCTTTTATTATTATAGATGACCTTGTGTGTCTTATCTGTGGGTGTCTGCATGTGTCTCATCTGTGCACATCTGTGTGTTTTGTTTGGAATCTGTCGTCTGTTCTCTAGAGTTAGTCTGGTGCAATGGACGAAGCTGAACTACCAGGTAGAGAATAGGAAACTGTTGGTACTGGATTTAGCAACAGATTTCTCGGCTGTGGGCCAGGGCTCCTCGGGGGAATAAATCTCCACTACCACCTTCTGTCCCGTGGGTGGAAGAGTAGCCACTGGTCAGCAAGAGTGAATGAAGCCAGGCGAAAGCCCTGGGGCAGAGGTGCAAGCTCGCCAGGGGCGCGCTGTTCGAGGCAACTGAGGGAGGGTTGGGAAGGCCACTCTGTGGTGTAGGCTTTGTCCCAAATGCAGGAGGAGCTTCTGGGGGGCTCAATACGGTAGGACTTGGCCAGTCCCTAGGCTGCTGTGGATACACATGCATACCCAGAGGGGAGAGAATGGAAAGTGGTCTCAGCAAAGGGAATGTCCACAGTGAAATGATCTAAAAAGCCAGTTCCTGGGGGAGGGGTATCAACTCAATTGCTCCATCAAACCTAACAGGCAGACCTGCTGCCCAGAGGGCACTGACTACCTGGCTCTGCACCTGGTTCAAGGTCACAGGCTGGAGCCCACCCTCAAAGACCTATTTGAAAAGTTGTTCACATTTGATCTGGCCGGTTTGGCTCAGCGGCTAGTGGAAAGTGTGCAGGAGGCTGTTGATCTATGATTCTCTCTCATCACTGATGTTTCTCTCTCTCTCCTCTCTTCCTCTCTTAAATCAATAAAAATATATTTTAAAAAAGAAAAGTTAGTTACACTTGAATCTTACTGTCCCTGTATCTGGATAAGATCCCCCTGACTTTCATTTGATGACACACAGCCCTGTGAGGCGAAGAGCAGCCACCCCCACTTACAGACGGGGCAGCAGGCTCCTGGCTCTGCGATGGCCACCTGGCTCAGCCCCTACAAAGCTGCAGAGGAGCCCGCCGCAGCCAGGGGTTGGGGTGGGGCGGGGTGGGAGCCTGTGCTGGCGCTCCAGGAGCTCAGGGAGCAGGGCAGATGAAGCCAGCGCCTGAAACGGGACAGACCTCGGAGCGGAGGAGGGAGACGCCCCGCCTGCCGCTGTTCCCCTCCCCCGCCCCGCAGGGTGGCCGCCTGGGCGACACGTCCTGGGAGCGCCGGGCGGAAGCGCTGCTGGGACTGACACGTGGACTTGGGCGGCGCTGTGGGCCGGGAGCCGGTCTCGGACTCTGCGCACCGTGGCTGTCTGCTCCCGATGCAGCCGCCCCGGGACAAGGCCCACCGGGACAAGGCCAACCAGGACACAGCTGGGGACGCTCAGTGGACCAGGTGGGGAGGAGGGGCCTGGGCGGGGATCAGGGGAGGGGGCGGCGCATCCTGTGGGGAGAGTATCCTGGGGGAGGCGTCCAGCTGCAGGGCCTCCTCTGCCCTCATGGGGGGCAGGCACCACCCTGGGGAGGAAGGAGTGGAGTGCACAAGTAACTCCAACCAGCAGGACCCTCCTCCCTTCCACCCACCCCCAGGCTGCCGGGGCCCAGGAGGTCATGCAGGCAGGGGGCCTGCTTGGGATAGGGGGCATCTTCCTGGTTGGGAGGAGCCTGCGCTCACTGGCCTGGCCTCATGCTGGAACTGACCCTGCCAGGCAGGACCACACCTGAGAGCAGCAGAGGAGCAGTTCAGTCACCCCATGGGGCAGTCAGGGGCTGGTCCGAGTCCTGCCACCGCGTGCCATGTGTGTGATGTGGGCCAGGTGTCCGAGGGGGTAGGGGGAGCAGAAGTTGGCAGGAGGAGAGGAAGGGCCCAGCAGTAATCCACTCCTTTTCATACCCGTTTCCACTACTGTAAGGGAACCCCCGAAAAGCCCCCAGGCGGCCAAGGCTCAGCTCTTCTCTGGTTCTGTGGGCTGAGGACAAGCCAGCTGGACCCGGGCCCAGAGTCAGGCCCTGAAATCCCAGAGCTTGTCCACCTCCAGGTTTGGGTCCCGGTGAATCTGCTCTCGGGGCCTCCCTGTTGCGGGCAGAATAATGGCACCTTCCCGCCTCTGCCCCAGCACAGGGCTGCGGGAAGACCCGAAGGGACAGTCCCCAGTGTTGGGGTTAAGATGAAGGCAAAGCTGTCGGGGAAGAGGGAGAAGCTGGCGTTCATAAGAAGCCATCAAAGCCAGAAGGCTCCCGGGACAGACCAGGGAGCGGGGAGGAGCAGGGCTGGCCCGGCGAGTGTGACCACAAAGCCCAGGCACAGCTCTGGTGTCTCCCCAGGGTAGACTGGGGGCTGCCAGCTGTGTGCCTGGACCAGGGGTGCTTTTGGCCAGCCTCTCCCTCACTTCCCTCCACAACCTGCTGGTTATGGAGATGGGGTCTGGCTCTCAGCTTGAGCCAGGTGGCAGGCCTGCTTGCAGCCAGCTGGGCAGAGGGTTGTGCCCAGGACAGACAGACAGGACAGGCGGTTCCTGGAGGGCCTGTAGGTGCTGGCGGAGTCGTGCTCAGTGCGGGAGCAGGCTGTTCTCAGCCATGACTGGGTAATAATAACAAGTGCTACTGTCGGCCGCCGCTGGCTCTGCATGCCCTCTGCTTGGACTGCCATGTCTTATACTCACAGTAACCTGGGAGGCAGGGCTGCTCTCCAGCCACATCCCAGGAGTGGGGGCCACCAGCAGCCTTGGACCCACACGTGCTCTCTGGCTTGTTGCCCTCCTGGCCCGCGGCTCCTGCAGTTCCCTTTTCTGAATCAAGGGGCCTCATGACCGCATGTTCGTGCGGCATGGGTGCTGCATGCACAGGGGCCGTTGCAGAAAGCGTTTCTAGGTGCTTCCCAGGAGGCATCTTGATGACTCGGGCTCCAGCTGAGGCTCAGGGCTGGTCAGAGTGGGGGGATGCGGTCTCGGCCTCTCCTGACCAGTCCTGCCACACAGGGCTGAGCATTCTGCGTCTGGGTCACCCCTTCCCTCCAGACATCCTTGTTCTGTGTGCCCAACAGCTGTACGGACATCCCTTTGCCCACTTAGCTGACACTGCCCGCCAGCTCAGGGACGGGGCTGTGGCTCCAGGGCCGAGGGGGAAGCACAGAGCACCTTACGCCACGCAGCTCCCTGGGGAGTGCCCCTGCCGGCACCTTAGGCTCAGAGCCCACGTGGCAGACCGTGCATGGAGCCTGCAGCCCTGGCCCTCTTGGATCCCATGTCAGACATGGAGGCAGTCAGGGAGCAAGCACTGCTGGGAGCTCTGGGGCCTTGCAGGCGTCTGGCCCACCCACCGCCTTCGTCGTTCTGTGAACGCCAGAGGGAGAGTCGGTGGGAGACCCCCTCTACCTTGGCCTCTCAGGCAGGGGAGGCTCCACTGAGACCGGTCCCACCTGCCCCTGTGAGACTATTCTTGTCTCGCTTCTGAGTAGCATTTTAAGAACCAGGAAGTAGGGCCGGGCATGACGGCCAGGGCCCCTCCCCATTAGACATTGAGAGGTCGCTGGACCATTTCCAAGTACAGCACCTGCCGTGGCCTCTGGGGTGCAGCCAGCGGGGCTCCGGGGCCACAGAACTGTGCATGCGCCGCACAGGCCCTGCTCCCGGCGTGGGGAGGAAGTTCCAGTGTGTGAAGCAGGTAGTGGCTGGGGTGCCCTGGGGCCTCAGCCTGTGGCACCCCACCGAGCACCTGCAGAACCAGCTTGAAATGCAACCTCTTCATTGCACACATGGGGAAACTGAGGCTCAGAGAAGAGACGGGGTTCCCGAGTCGGTCGGGCTTGCGCCAGACCACAGCAGGCAGCAGGAGCGTCCCAGCTCCAGGCGGGACTGGTCTGCAAACATGGGCATGCGAGCAGCAGGCTGGCTGTTTGGAACTTAGACTCATTCATACCAAACCCTTGCATGGTGGTCTCGAACCTGGAATCAGCTGTCTCTGCTTGTGTGGTACAGCAGCCTCCATGGGCAGCAGGGAGGGTGCTGCATCCTCCAGCTCCCTCCCTGACTGAGGGGAAGTACCGTGGCCCGTGTGGACAGGCGGCGGAGGAGTGGGGCACGGTTGCCACACCTCCCTCCGGCCAGTCACAGTGGCTCCTCGTGGGGCTACCCGGAGCTTGTGGGCACCTTGCTGTTTGCTGGCTCATGAAGGAGGCAGACATCATGGGCTCTTCTTCCCTGGGGAAACTGAGGCTGAAGGAGGCTAAGCAACTTGTCCCAGGTCCCTCACCCCCCAGCCTCGTCCACAGCCAGCATGGGCTCCAGCCCTCCTGGGGTGGTCTTGGCCTCACCCTGGACCGTCCTTCCCAGTTGTCTGTGCAGCTTGAGCCTGGAGGGGGGACTGGCAGGTGGGAGACTGGCTCTGGTCTGCCACAGATCAAGCCCCATGTCTGCCGCTAGGACCCCACTTGGTAACTGGCAGACACACACCCCCTCAGCCTCTGCCCCTGCCAGGTCCAGACAAAGGTCCAAATGGGGCTTTGGGAGTGAGGGGACAGTCCAGTGTCCTTCCTCACAGGCGTCCTTCCCTATTCTGCTCTGACATCCACCCGAAGCCCCGGCTGGCCCCCTCCTAGCCACCCTTCTTTTTGGTGTCTGGCTCCTGGCCCTGCCTTCCTCTCCCTGAGCCCTGCTGTTTCCTGGTGACTTTGATGTCCACATGGCCCATCGATCCGGTGGCCTGGCCTCTCGCCCGTGACCTCTCCTCCCTACAGCCTCCTGAAGCGTGACAGCACTGACACCTTTGCCCCTTCACCCACCAGGCCTTCCCCACAGCCTGCGCTTCCCCTCTGCAGTGCCCAACCTGGGGAGGACTGGTCCCCTGCCCCAGGCCCCAGGCAGATGTGCGCGTCCATGTGCAGGCAGGACCCTGAACCCCCAGCTTTAGGGCATTGCACTGTCCAGACCAGCTGCCTCCCACTGCCACCACTCTCAGGCTGTCCCCCCGCACAAGACATGTGCGTCAGCAGGACGCCTCCTGCCCGCCCCTGTCGTCCACCCACCCACACACAGTCACTGCCTTTGGGAAAGCTGTACAGCACTCCCTGGCTCCGCACTGCTGCCCGGTCACACCTGCGGTCAGTGCCGTGTTTGCCATGGGCCCTGAGCGGTGCTGACAGTTACAAACCAACGTCCACGGTGGTTCCGGCCTCTGCAGCTCTCTGCCGTCCCAGGACCCGTGGCACGGGTCCTCAGGGCAGGTCTCCTGGGCGTCCACCTGTGGCCCTTGTTTTTGTTTGTTTTTTAAAAATATATATATATTATTGATTTTTTATAGAGAGGAAGGGAAAGGGATAAAGAGCTAGAAACATCTATGAGAGAGAAACACACCCCCTACTGGGGATGTGCCCGCAACCAAGGTACATGCCCTTAACCGGAATCGAACCTGGGACCTTTCAGTCTACACCGATGCTCTATCCACTGAGCCAAACCGGTTTCGGCTGTGGCCCTTGGCTTTGGTGACAGACAGTTGAGAGCACTGGCCAGGAGCTGTGGATACTCCCTCCGTGGACATTTGTCTGACAATCTTCCCAGCAGCCAGGGATGCCTCACCCCTGCCCAGGTTCTTCCAAGGGGCCCACAGCACCGTGTCCCCTTGCTGGCCGCCCAGCGCCGCCTGCCCAAGGGCCTCTGCTGAGCAGACCCAGCTTTTCTGGGGGCGCTGCAGGACCCACTGTCCTGCCTCCAACCTGTTGTTGCCCTCTCTCCCCAAGCCACAGGACCCTCCCTCTCTGCCTCAAATGGGGTCCCACCTCACTGCCCCCTTGGCAGGAACTAGCTGTCAGCTCCCACCTGGCTGCTTTCTTGGGCCCCTTGGTCTGCAGTCCCGGGTGACGGCCCTGACCACAGCGGCCCTACACCCACGTGCTGTCTGTGACGTTCCTGGAGCTGCCTCTCCTCCTGGGAGTCCACAGGCGCATTTCGATGTTGGGCAGTCTGGCGTTTGGGAGATGGTGTGCCTTTGTCAGACTCTGCCCTTCCTCTCCCGCAGGCCTGAGCGCCAGGCATGGACGGGGACGCTGCTGCTGGGCACGTGCCTGCTGTACTGTGCCCGTGTCAGCATGCCCATCTGCATCGTCTCCATGAGCCAGGACTTCGGCTGGAACAAGAAAGAAGCCGGCATCGTGCTCAGCAGCTTTTTCTGGGGTTACTGCCTGACTCAGATCCTGGGTGGCCACCTGGGGGACCGGTAACTGCCCGCTCCCCACTCCCGTGCTGGGCTGGAGAGCTCCGGGGAGGGCCAACTGGGAGCTGGAGACCCGAGGCCCAGGGGCTGCACCGCCACCCTCTGGGAGCTCTTGGGGCGCTGGGGGTGGATGGGCGGGCTGCACCCTGTGCTCTCACCCTCGGCCTCCTCTGCAGAGGCTGTGGCTCAGCGCGACCCTGGAGAACGGCTCCGAGAAGGGATGGCCCGAGCCCCGCCTGGCCGTCTCCATGCAGGATCTCTGGCCCCGCAGCCTCCCCATCACTGCCCTCTCGGCCCCTCCAGGATCGGGGGCGAGAAGGTCATCCTGCTGTCAGCCTCCGCCTGGGGCTTCCTCACCGCCGCCACCCCGCTGCTCGCACACCTGGGCAGCGCCCACCTGGTCTTCATGACCTTCTCACGCATCCTCACGGGCTTGCTCCAAGGTAGGCACACGTCAGGGCTTCCCTCACGGGTGGTGTTAGACTCTGTTAGAGCATGTGTGTGCATGTGTGTGTGTTCATGTAGGCGGTGCACGGTGTGTGCATGCATGTGCTCCTATGTGCTCCTGTGTGTGTGTGTGGACTGGCAATGCCTTGGCACCCAAGTAGTTTCTGTCCTGGCCAGTCTGTTCAGTGGTTAGAGCATTGGGCCTCAGACTGAGGGGTCTCAAGTTTAATTCCCCGCCAAGGGCACGACCTGGGTTGCAGGCTTGATCCCTGGTCCCCAGGTCAGGGCACATGGGAGAGGCAGCCAACCAATGTGTCTCTCTCACATTGATGTTTCTCTTTCCCTCTCCCACTTCCCTCCACTCTCTAAAAATCAATAAAAAATATCCGCTAGTGAGGATTGACATCAACAACAAAATAAATAGAAGCATTTCAGAGTCTGGCCAATTCTAATGTCAGACGTCCTTCTGCAAAATAGCTGCATCCGGGCGGCCCAAAGTTGCTGTCTAACAGCCATCAGCACCATGAGGCTAACAGGCATGGTGGACACAGGCTCATGCTCCGGCCACACTGGACTCCTCGCGAGAGCCCCCAAACACCCAGTGGCCCCGGTGAGCAGGTGGCGCCCAGCCCCCGCTCCAGGGAAGGGACGGCCTCTGAGCTACCGCCTGCCCCAGCCTGGGCTCTGCAGTGTCCATCGCCTGGCGTCCACCCGAGAGCACGGGCTCTGGGCCCTTCCTCACCACGCCCGCCTGCTCCAGAAGGGCCCCTGGCAGCCCCCTCAGACCCTGGCAAGGCATGGGCATGGGCCCTAGGGACCCCTGTTCTCCAGGAGTTGGCCAGCCCCACCGTCTGGCCTCTGTGCTCCCGTGAGCCCACCCTAGATGGCCTGTCTCCCTGTGACTCAGGGCTGGTGCTCCGGGCCTGCCAACCGAGATCCCCGAGCGGGGCTGTAGGCGCCCCCTGGGTGGTCCACAGCTCAGGCTGTTTCTCCCATCCTGGGAGGCCGAAGACTTTTCTATGTGCTGGACTGCGGCTCATTATGGGGGCCAGACCAGGCTCCAGGGCAGCCGTCACGCTGGGTGACTGGCACTCTGGTGGGCAGGGCCAGTGCTCTGAGGGGAACCAAGTCCCATTCCGGTCGCAAGCCTCTAACAGGCAAGCACTGAACTTCCAGCGCAGTGTTTTAAACTGGAGATTTTTAAATAATTGTAGATCCACAGGAAGTTGCAGAGCAACATACAGGAAGTTCTGTGCTCTCTCCCACCTCCCTGAGGTGCCATCTCCGTAGCTAGGGGAAGCATCACACCTGGACCCAGCACTGGTTCCACAGAGCCATGAGGTCTCACCTGTTTGTGTGTGTGTGTGTGTGTGTGTGTGTGTGATAGCATGTGCTAGTGCACACATGTCAAACACAATGCCCGCGGGCCAAATCCGGCCCGCCAGGCCTTGCAATGTGGCCCGCACCGCGCTGTCATCACTGTACTCCGCTGCGTTCCATCACAATGACGCGCGGTGACATAGGAGGCTTGTGATCTCGCTGGCCGCCATACTTGCTATCTATTACGCATGCGCATAGATAACAAGTCACGCGAGATTCAGGAGGCGTGACCTATAGTCCGGCATCCGATGTGGTTGTGCGGGTGGCAGAGCAGAGGAGAGAGTGAGTGTGCGGGCATAAAAAATACACAGCAGAAGCTGCCAGTTCCTGGCATAAAGTGCAGGCATAAAAATCGCAACAGAATCTGCTATCTGTACCCAGCCAGGCGTTTATTGACTGACTTTTTTTTTCTCCACTCCATCTGCCAAATCAAGCTATCCCTGTGCAGTTTTCAACTTTTTCCTTCTAACGCAGATTTCCAATAAACTACATCTTTTACTGCCAATATTGATCCCAAAATGTCCAGGAAAAGAAAAGTTGACGGTGAAGGCAGACAATTTAATGACAAATGGGAAAATGAATACATGTTTGTGCTTAGAGAGGGCAAACCAGTGTGTATATTGTGTTATGAGACAGTGTCGGTGATGAAAGAGTACAATATACGTCGTCATTTTGACACCAAACATAATGTTAAGTATGGCAAATATACTTTGGAAGAAAAGCATAAAATTGTTAAAGAACTAAAAGGCAAACTACAATCACAGCAGCAAATGTTTACAAAGGCTACAGCGAAAAATGATGCTGCAGTGAAAGCAAGCTTTATAGTGGCTGAAGAAATTGCCCGTACTTCAAGGTGTTTTTCAGAGGGTGCCTTTTTGAAGCAATGCATGCTAAAAGTGTGTGAGCAAGTATGCCCAGACCAGATACAGAGTTTTCAAAATGTCAGTTTGTCAAGAAACACCATTGCAGATAGAGTTCAAGAACTCTCAGGAAATCTATCATCACAGCTGGCCGAACAGGCATGCAGTTATCTCGCTTTTTCACTTGCTATCGATGAAAGCACAGACAACACTGATACAGCGCAGCTGTCCATCTTTATACGTGCTACGAAGACCGACCTCTCTGTCACTGAGGAACTTTTGGATGTAGCTGCCATGCATGGGACGACGACTGGTAGAGATATATTTGAGGCTGTGGAGAAATCTATAAATACAATAATTTTAAATTACCCTGGGAAAAGTTGGTGGGGCTAACTACCGATGGCGCACCTTCAATGTGCGAAGAAAAGAAAGGCTTGGTTGGACTAATGAAGGAAAGAATCCAAAAAAGTCACTGCCACACACCCTTGATTACTTATCATTGCATTATCCACCAAGAGGCTATGTGTGGAAAAGTTCTGGACATGAATGACATAATGACCACAGTCATTAAAACTATTAACTTTATACGGGCACATGGCCTGAATCATCGCCAGTTCCAGCAGTTTCTACAGGAGGTGGGTGCAGAGCATGGAGACGTGCCATACCACACAGAAGTAAGATGGCTGAGCAAGAGCGCAGTCCTCAAAAGATTTTTTGAGCTCAGAGAACAAATTGCTCTTTTCATGGAAAGGAAAGGAAAGCCCTTGCCTGAACTGTCGGATCCCGCCTGGCTATGTGATTTTGCTATGATGTGTGACATATGCGAGCATCTCGCCCAACTGAATCTGAAGCTGCAGGGACGCAAACAAGTCATCACGAAGATGTCTGACATGATCACAGCATTCCAGCGTAAACTTCAACTATGGAAGTCCCAACTGGAACAGGACAATCTTGCCCACTTTCCCATTTGTTTGAGTATCTCAACAACCACTATTTCTGGTACTTTTCCTTGCAGTCAGCTGACTACCAAAGTTAGCCATTTACTAAGTGAATTTGAGCGGTGCTTCTCTGACTTTAGAACACAGCACTCAGGCTTTGACATCTTTGCCAATCCTTTTACAGTTGATGTCAACAATGTGCCCCATCACCTTCAGATGGAGATAATCGAGCTTCAGTCTGACAGTGGCCTGAAATCAAGTTTTCAGGATTTTGAAATTGAGGACTTCTACCCTCTACTGCCCCCTGACTCAATGCCAGAGCTCCGACTTCATGCTGCCCGTATTCTATCCATGTTCGGGAGCACCTATCTTTGTGAACAGATGTTTTCAATAATGAATCTGAACAAAAACAAGCACAGATCACGCATTACCGATGACAACCTCCATGCTGTTTTGCGGGTTGCTACAGCCCAAGAAATAAAACCGAACATTGACTCATTGATCCCGGGAAAACGGTGTCAGACATCTAGCCAGAAAACAAAACAATGAGCATTTTAGGTACATTCCAATATTACTGTTTTGCTTGATACCAATATTACTGTTTTGCTTGATAGCATGTGAGTTGGTTAACAGCACTGTTAAGGAAAAGATTGTTCCACTCATTTTAAATTCACATTTCTGGTTAACATTGTCAGTTTATGACTGTTCAGTAAACCATTCGGCCCGCGATTTAGGCTGGATTTTAGATTTTGGCCCCTTCTCTGATTGAGTTCGACACCCCTATGCTAGTGTGAATCAGGGTGTGTGTGTGCAGGTGGCCACACCACATGTGTGTGCCAGGACTGTAGAGCTGCTGTGGCTCTGGAAGCCAGGGGGAAGGTGGCAGAAGCCTTCCCTGCCAGCGCCTCTCATCCAAGCTGAGCACCTCCTGAGCCAGGTGTGCTGCTGGGTCCTTGGGGTGATGCGAGTGTGAAGGAGGCCCAGGCTGGAATAATCACCGGTGGGGAACTTCCCAGCCGCCCTCACCCTCGGCTGGTGCCCTCGCTGGCCCCTGGCCCGTGGCCTCCGCATTCTCTGCTTGTTCCAGGGGTTTACTTTCCTGCGCTGACCAGCCTGCTATCACAGAAGGTCCGGGAGAGTGAGCGAGCCTTCATCTACAGCACTGTGGGGGCCGGCTCCCAGTTCGGGTAAGTCCGAGGGGGGGCGCGGAGAAGGGATGGAGGGGAGATAAGTGTGTGGCCCCCCGCAAAGCCCCGCAGGTGGTGGGTCAGGCCACATGGGCTCCTCTGCTGGGCCTCTGGGCACAGGTGCTGGCGGCAGGGGAGCGGCTTTGGGCTGTGCGGGCTGCGGGCAGGGCAGCAGCGCTCTATCAAGCACCCTTTCATCTGCGCTGCTGGAGCCAGGCGTGGGGGGTGGGCTCCGACGCCGACGGGAGGCGCCTGCGCTCGCCCTGGCGGGCAGTGTCACATCTGGCAGTGAGAGCCTGTGCCTGGCCCGGCTCTGTGTGGAAGGACAGCTCCCTGTCCTGATGGGCTTCCTGACCCAGGCTCGGACCCTCACTTCCCTGCTCCAAGGTCCACGCAGAATTTAGAGGGACAAGGGGTACCCCTGGGTGGGCTGGAGCAGCCCACAGAAGAACCCAGGGTGCCCAGTCAGTGTGATGTTCAGAGAAGAAATACAGGAAACCAGGAAACACTCATTTATCTGAAATCCCACCTCACCTGCTGTCCTGGGCCCATGGGGTGGGGGGGATTTCAGATAAATGAGGAGTGTTTCCTGGTGGGGGGGAGTGGGGCAGGGAAATGGAGGCTCAGAGAGGAAGTGACCCCCACAGGCCCAGTGGCCTCAATCTGAGCCCAGCTTTTTTGCTCCTTACAATCTCCCGGCCAAACCTGGGCAGATGTGGTGAGGAAGCAGCCCCTGAACCGTGATGTTTGGGGGTTTTAGTTTAGAAACCCACACTGCAATTTCAGGCCTTCTTATTTTAAAAAAATATATTGGTATTGATTTCAGAGAGGAAGGGAGAGGGAGAGAGAGAGAAACATCAGTGATGAGAGAGAATCATTGATCGCCTGCCTCCTCCAGGCGCCACCCTGGGGATGGAGCACGCACCCGCGCAGGTGCCCTGGCCAGGAATCTAACAATGACCTCCTGGTTCCTAGGTTGATGCTCAACAGCTGAGCTAGGCCGGCCGGGCTCGGGCCCCCTTAAGGGCCGAGGAACAAGACATTCAAGACCACAGAGGCCCTGTGCCCTGCCTCGGCCACACGGCCGTCCTGAGTGCACGGTGGCCACACAGCGTCCAGTCTCTACCCACGGGCTGCAACAGGGCACCCCGGCTGCCCAGACACCAGCTCACAGGGCTGGGCTGGTGCAGGCGCCTCCCTGCCTGGGTGAAGCCAAATCATGGCCACTGTCCTCTGGTTCTAGGACCCTGGTGACGGGGGCAGTGGGCTCCCTGCTCCTGGACTGGTGCGGCTGGCAGAGCGTCTTCTACCTCTCTGGGGGCCTCACCCTGCTGTGGGTGTGTTACGTGTACAGGTACCTGCTGAGCAAACAAGGTAACTGCGGCCGGGTAGGCACAGCCTGCACATTCGGCCGCCCAGGAAGGGTGAGGGCCTGGAGCCTGGGCCCCTCTGGCCACCACCGAATGTGAAAGTCACAGAGCAGCCCCAGCTCAGGGGACCAGGGCTGAGCTGCAGACTAGGACCTCAGAAAACATGCCTGCGCTACCTGCCCGCCTCGCCCCCGCCCCCATGGTTAACGCCATGTTCAAGCTGAGAGGTCTGCAGGGGTCCAGGCAGAGGCGGGGAGCTGCATGGCAGATGGCAGAAGAGGGGATGGGGACTCAGGCCTGGGGAGGATCAGAAAAGTGGACCCTCAAAGGCACTGGACACAGCGGGAGGCCCTCTCCCCACCCCCCATCACTGGGCCTTAAGAGCAGAGCAGCCGTTCCTGATTTGGAGCAGCTTTCACATGGACGCTCCCTGCTCCCTCCAGATCTCATCCTGGCCTTGGGCGTTTTGGCACAAAGCCTGCCGATGGCCGGGCACACCAGGGTTCCCTGGAGACAGCTTTTCCGGAAGCCTTGTGTCTGGTGAGCTGGCTGTGCGTGCCACCTTGTGGGGCGGGGGCAGAGGTGGGGACCCTGTGTGTCCCTAGCACTGACCGGTCACAGAGCCAGGGTCCCCAAGGCCTCTGGCCGCCCTGGGGGCGGGGACTGTGGCCTGAGAGGCACCTGCACCTGCAGGGTGGCCATCTTCTCCCAGCTCTCAGCCGCCTGCTCCTTCTTCATCCTGCTGTCCTGGTTGCCAACCTTCTTCAAGGAGACCTTTCCCAGCTCCCAGGTGGGTGGGCTTCCTCGGCTCCCGCAGGCAAAGCGCACCCTCTGTCCAGGTTCTTTGCATCGACTCCCCTGCCGTCCCCTCCACGCCTCCTGACCCCTGACCCCGCACTCCACACTCAGCCCAGCCCGCGACGGGCCCGCCCTCTGTGATGGTCCTTCTTGGGAGGCCCGGCAGGGGCCTGATGTGAACAGGGATGTCACCTCCCGGCCCTGGCGGCCAGGACCCTCTGAGCAGCACCCTCCTGGCCAGTAGTGCAGCCCCCACCCCCACCCCCTGCTCAGGGGAGACTGCTGGAGTCTAGCCCCATGGGGATGGCTTAGGGGTAGGGAGGCCTAACCCCGGGGTGGAGATGAGACTGGGGGCTGGTGCCAGCCTGGCTGCCTCTGAGACCCGCCTCCCTCCCCACAGGGCTGGGTCTTCAACATGGTGCCCTGGCTGGTGGCGATTCCTGCCAGTCTGTTCAGTGGGTTTCTCTCTGACCATCTCATCAGTCAGGGTGAGCCCTGGGGACAGGACTTGGGGAGCCACGCCTGGGCTCACCCCACTGTGGGGAGGGGTGGGGGGCACCCCTACTGGGAGGGCGGCCACAGCGATGGCAAGAAGCCATGGCCCCTGAGGACCACACTGGGGGAGTGAGAGCCCAGCCCTGCAGAGGCAGCAGGTGGGCCCGGGAGCCTGGTTCCCAGCCTGACCCGGCGGCGGCTCCCCAGCCTCAGGTAAGAGTGGGCTCGGAGAGCAGTGAGAGGCTCCGGGTCCCCTCGACGGGAGAGACCTCCCAAGGCTGCATGCAGGGTGGGAGGGGCACCTGGTGTGGTCAGAGTGGAAATCAGGTGTGAGCGGGACCCGCGTGCACGTTGTAACGGTCAGAATGGCCTTCCTTCCACGCACATGCCCCACCTCAGCCCCAGGTCCTGTGAGTGCAGACCAATCTCAGAGCAGATGCACCACAGCACACACACGAGTGTGCACACGCCTCTCCCACGACACAGGATACCATGGCTTGAGCCTGGGGCCTCTCCCTGCTCCCTCCTGCAGCTCTGCTGGGGCGGGTTCCCTGTGGGTGCTGTCGGAGGGGGTGTCAATGCAGACTGGGCAGTGGGAACGTGTCCTGGTCTCCCCTCTGTCCAGGTTATAGAACCATCACCGTGCGGAAATTCATGCAGGTATGGCGGTCGTGGGGTGGCTGTCTTTGGACGTCCTGTTTATTCCTGGGACACGAGGGCTGTGTCCCCAAGTCCCTTGACCCAGAAGGTGCCGGTGTGGCAGGGCCGTGGGCGGTGCCCTGAGTGCTGGGCCGGGCGGCCACCCCTTCTCGGAGCTGTGTGTGCGGCTCCGTGTGCCCTTTGAGCCCTGGCACCCATTCGGGCCTGGATTTGCTCACATCTAATGGGGTCTGTCCACTTGAGGTTCACCCAGCAGGGATAGCCTGCCCCATGCTCCTGTCCCCCCCGCCCGGGCAGCCTGGGAGGGGTACCCTGGCCCTTTGCTGGCACAGCCCTGCCTGACCTCACGTCTGTCCGCAGGTGATGGGCCTGGGCCTGTCCAGCGTGTTTGCCCTGTGTTTGGGTCACACCTCCAGCTTCTGTAAATCTGTGTTCTTTGCATCAGCTTCCATCGGCCTACACACCTTCAACCACAGGTAAGGGGCCCGTCCCGCCCACCCTCTGCCCTGGCCCCCAGCACTGCAGCCCTGGGTGCGCAGGGGCAGGCAGGCCAGGCAGGTCCCCACGTGGGCCTGGGCCATTTGGAGAAACAAAGACGTGCTGGGGCGGGGTTGGGCGGCCTCTCAGGCAGCACCCCTCCACCGGAGGAGCCAGCTCATCGGCCGCGCCCATCGCTGGGCGGTTCCAGTCCTCCCCGCGCCCAGCATCGCCGGTTCCCCAGAGAACTTCACAGGGAGGGAGTCGTTTCAGGAAAAGTCGCCTTTTTTCAGATTTATGGACACAAAGGAGTGTGCTTTCGGCAAGCTGGCCTTCTTGTTAATTTCATCCTGGGGCCGGGTCCCTTGGCTGGGTCACCACCAAGATGGGGAGCTGGGAGTCCAGATGGCCCAAGAGTGCCGGGGCATGGCCAGCGGCCCCGGGCCCTGAGCCCCGTGGTCTCCAGCTCCGGGAGCTCAGAGGCCTGACGTTCGTCCGTGGAGGGTGGCTGCCCCGTGGTCACCGGCCCACATGCTTTCCTCCCCACAGCGGCATTTCCGTTAACATCCAGGACCTGGCCCCGTCCTGCGCCGGTGTGCTCTTTGGTGAGGACCTGCCCCTCCCGGAGCCTCGGGCTGCTCCCAGCTGGGTTGCCTGCGAGGGTCACAGTGAGACCCCTCTGATGTTCTCCTCTCGCCCCCGTTCACAGGTGTGGCCAACACAGCTGGGGCCTTGGCAGGTGAGAGGCAGGCAGGGGTCCCTGCCTGAGGTGCCTGGGGTCTCCCTGTGTCCCCCACCACCCTCTGGTTATGCAGGGTGGGGTGTGGCCCTTTGGCGGGGGTCAAACAGTGTCAGACCAGTGGGGTGGGGGGTACACCTCCAGGCTAGTCCAGAGAGAACAGAGCTGTGTTCTGTAGTGTTCACCTCCTCACCCTTCCCCCACTGTGGGGTTCACCTCCCCCTCAAATGTGAGTCGATCCCAGTGTCCTGAGTCCCCACTGGATGACAGAACAGGCTGTGCCCACTGCCCCGGCCCCACTGCAGGCTCAGAGGGCCAGAGGTGGCTGGTCTCCTGCAGGGCCTGGGAGGCCTCTGCCCCTGAGACTGGCTGGCCTTGGGACACAGAATTTGGCTTTTCTTTAGGCCCCTTTCCTCCAGGCACCCCACCCCAACTCCTCTCCCCCACACTGCCTGGGACTGCCTGTCACTCACCCTGTCTGTCCCCTCTCTTGGTGCAGGTGTGGTGGGTGTGGGCCTGGGTGGCTACCTGATTGAGTCCACAGGCTCCTGGACATCCGTGTTCAACCTGGTGGCCGCTGTCAGCAGCCTGGGGCTGTGCTCCTTCCTGGTGTTCGGGGAGGCCCAGCGGGTGGACCTGAGCCCGCGGCGGGAGGACCTGTAGCTGCCCGCCCCGCCCCGCCCCACCCCGGCCCATCCATCAGCCTCGGGCGAGCGGCTTCATTTCAGAGTCTCTTCTCTTGACTGCAGAGGTGGAACCTCAGAGAGAGTCTCGATGGAGCAGGAGAGGGGCGCCGCCCTAGTTAGACCTCAGGTGCCTGGAGTCAGTGTAGAGCAGTGGAGCAGTGGCTGGCACAGGCCTGGGCTGCACTCCTCTCCAAGACGGCTCTGCTTTGTTTCTCGGCACTGGGGCCGGCCCTGCTCTGTGGGGCAGCTGTGTGCTGTGAGTACTCAGCAGTGTCCTTGCCCCAGTACTGTCCCCCGATGCCACCAAGTGTTCCCAGGGCAGCTGCCCGGGGTGGGTGGGGGCAGTGAGCTCCACCCCTTTGGCTGTCTTTGGGGACCCCACCCCAATGTTTCCCTCCGTGGATCTCCAGACACTAGCAATGGCTCTGCTTCCCTGGCACCCAGTGCCACTGTGTGGGAGCCTGGGCACCCTCTCTGCCAAGGCGTTCCCCGGAACCAAGTGACCCTGCCTTCTTCCCGTTTATGGCAGAGGAGCCGTTGCTCAGGAATAATAGGTGTCGCCAGATGTATATGGAGAGAAAAGAAATACAAAAACATGGGGAACGTACCAAAGCCTTATTTAAATGATGACTATCCTTTTATTTAAAAGAAGACTGTTATTTTGAAGCACATTGTTAAAAGAATAAATACTTGTAAAATATATTTTGAACTCATTCATGAGAAAACCAGTAAAGTGTTACAAACAGGTCAAAGGAGAACCCAGAACAGACCCAGGGGTAGCCAGGGCCCTGCATGGGGCGAGGTGCCGGTGTCCCCACCGGGGCACAGCTATCAGCTCCCGGCAGGGCCCGCAGCCCCGCCCACAGTCACTCAGCCCAGCCAGCTGTGCAGGAGCATCTGTTGGTTCCTGTTTCAGCACAAACTTCCCCCATAGCCACTCCCCTTTTTTCCTAATCCTCACCCGAGGATTTTTTCCATTGATTTTCAGAGAGAGAGGAAGAGAAAAGAGAGCACATCAATGTGAGAAGAACACATCGATTGGTGGCCTCCAGCATGTGCCCCAGGGAGGAGCCTGCACCAGATCTGTGTCCTTGACTGGAATCGGCCCGGATCCCTTCATCCTGCAGGCTGACACTATCCACTGAGCCAAACTGGCCTAGGGCTAGTCTCCCATTTTTTATTAGAAAGAACCTGAGAGATTCTTTTTTTAAAAAAACATATTTTTTTATTGATCTCAGAGAGGAAGGGAAAAGGAGAGAGAAGCATCAGTGATGAGAGAGAATCATGGATCAGCTGCCTCCTGCAGCCCCCACTAGGGATCAAGCCCAAAACCCAGGCATGTGCCCTTGACTGGAATCAGACCCAGGACCCTTTTGTCTACAGGCCAACTCTCTATCCACTGAGCCAAACCAGCTACGTCCAATCTGAGAGATTCTTGATCACAAAATGAGTCTGGCTGGATGGGCTGGGCCTGTTTGCACAGGTGCAGTGAGAATGCTAATCTATATAATAAAAGCCTAAGTGGCTATTATGGCAGAATGACCAGTTGCTATGATGCACACTGACCACCAGGGGGCAGATGATAATGTAGGAGCTTCCCCTGGTGGTCAGCACTCCCACGGGAGAAGCCGGGCTCACGGCTGGCGGCGGGAGCCTCTCCCACCTCTGTGGCAGCTAAGGACCAGTGAGCCCAGCAGTAGGAGCAGTGAGCAGGTGGGTGGTAAGGAGCAAGAGGTCCAGACTGTGAGAGGGCGCAGGCTGGGCTGAAGGACCCCCCACCCCGTGCACGCATTTCATGCACTGTGCCTCTAGTGTCCCATAAAGGCCTTTGGTTTGCTCAGCTGGGTTTCATGAGCAACCTCAAGTGGGTCCACTTCTGTGACCTGCTGTCCAGGGGCAGGAGCCCAGCCGAGGAAGCTCCCCAGGACACGACAGGGGGCCACCGTGGCAACCACGTGAGTGGCAGCTCCCCAACACACGTGTGTTCGCACTGCTGTGCGGCCACCACCACCATCTCCAGAATTTTTTCATCTTGTAAACTGACACTCTGTCCCCATCAGACACTCCCTCTGCCACCGCAGACACGGCACCACCTTCTAGTCCGTGGTTTTGACGACTCTAAGCACCTCGTTAAGTGGAATCATGCAGCATTGTCTCTTAGTGACTGGCTTTCCCACTCAGCACCGCCATGTGGTAGCAGGCACCGGACTTCCTTCCTTTTTAGTCCTGTGTGGATGGACGCTGTGGGAGTACTCACTCTATCCTGTCCGACCACGCCCGCGTTGGGTCCGAGTCCCTCTGCCACGAACGGGAGCTGCTGGGACGCCGGGCGTTGGACGTAGACATGAGACGTCGTGATCATAGAAGAGAGGCTTCACTGTAGCCCAAGGAGCCATGGCTACCCAGGCGCATCCGACAAAACAGCTCCTCAAAGCAGCCCTGAAGCACCGGCTGGTCCATGACACACCCTTCCTGCAAAGCAGCCTCCAGCACAGGAGCTGTGCAGCGTCGCAGCCCAAACCACAGCACGCACGGCTTTTTACCAACAGACAACGGAGGCCTCTGCCCGATGGGGACACCATCTCTGGGTGAGGAAGGCACACCTGCATGCACAGGAAGATGGCAGGGCCCTTGCTTTTGCACTCTTGGCCTTGAACTCTGGACGGGGCCCACAACTGCGCTGTGTGTGTCTACTCACCTGGGCTCCTGGGTTATTCCTACCTCTTGGCTGTTGTGAACATGCAGCTGTGAACTGGGAGGTGCGATAAACACTTTGCTTTTAACCCCCAACAAACTGAACTCTGAGGGGGGCGGCCCAGGCGGTGAGGTGGCTCTGTGCCGAAGGACACCTGGCACGGTGCTCACGGGCCTCCTGGTGCCATGCCCCACAAGACAGAAGAGGGGGCGCACGTGGGTTTGGGGTGCGGGGCCCAGTGCAGCAGATGGGCCCAGCCTCCTCCCCTCAAGGACCGTCCTGGTCCAGAACGTCATCCTAATCCTCGATGGGGTCTCCCTAACCCTTCCCCGCCGATGCTGGTCCCCAGGATAGCTCCATGGGGTTCGGGAGTGTTTGCAGCGGGGAGGGTGCTGATAACAGAGGCGTGTTCTCTCGGGGGGAGGGGCTGGCGCTATCTGGTGCAATCCAGTCAGACACGGCTCTGGGCAGCTCTGGCCGGGCCCCAATGCCACACCAAGCCCTGCCTGTTCCTTAGCGCCTGCAGTGGGAGGACTCCCACCAGGATGTAACTGCACAGCACACCACCAGGAGGCACCTCAGGAGGGCACGGCTGTTGTCACCCCACTGTCGGTGGACAGAGGGCGCTGTCGGACAGGGCTGTACCACTCTTGTCCCAGATCCTGCTCCCAGACTCCTCCCAAGACCCACGGTGCTGCCCCCTCAGTGGGAGCTGATGTTCCTCTCTCCACAGGAAGGGAATGGGTGGGAGGTGGCACAGCTCAGGGCATCGCACGGGCGATGGTGGGGGAGTCACCGCCAGGTAGTGTGTGGGAGAGGGCTCGAGGCTGGACTCCGTGGAAAGAAGAGGGACAGAGGAAGGGCTGATCCCTCCCGGGGGCTCCTCAGCGGCTGTGGCTCCCTGTTTCCACCTGTGTCTGACCTGAGTTTGAAATCCTGGCCCTGTCCCTCCCCTCGGTCCAGTGACAGGGGCGATGTCCTCGCTGCAGCAAAGCTTCCTCCTGCTGCCACCCCAGTGCTCCTCCTCCCCAATGCTCTGTCCCTACTGAGCCAGGAAGCGGGCAGCACGTGGCCTGGAGACCGTTTCTGTCCCTGGGACTTGGGAAGCAGAGACCCCTCGGAGGGGCCAGCCTGCTCTGACCCCGAGTGAGCACTCCGCTGTAGCCCCATCTGGCCTGTGGGCTCCTGTCACGAGCCCATCTCCAGGATCACCCCTGACTGGTGGCTCCCCAGCAGTTCTGGGCAGGATGAGCACCGGGCGGGGTGGGCCTGAGGCACTGGCTCCAGGCATCACCCTGATGGGTGCTGCCCGCTCAGGAGCAGGCCTGGCGCGTGGGACTGAGGATGGGCTGGGCTGGAGGAAGCCGGTGGCTTTGGAGGAGTTGGCATCTGCTGGGACCTGGTGGGGAGGCGGGAGGAGGCCGGGAGGGCACTCAGGCTCAGACCAGCAGTGAGGACGGGGGTGGGGGGTGGATGGAGGTGGGGGCTTGGGGGCACAGGCAGGGCGGTGGGTCCAGCCCCTGACCAGCCATTTGGGACAGGCTGCTCTCAGGTGAGAGCATTCAGCTTGTTTGCAGAGAAGTGGAGAGCGAGAGAGGGCCTGGCGAGCCCTGTCCACCAGCGGCCCGAGGGGGACAGCTCCCTCCTGCCGCAGGCCCCCGCGTCCGCCTGGCCAGGCCTTCCTGTGGTCTGTCTGGGGCAGCATCGCCTGGTTTACAAACTAATGTCTTTGTCCCCGGGGAAGCTCACCAGCACTTCAAAGGTGTTTGAAGAGTAAATGTTTTCCTAAGTTTCAGCTGACATTCAATTTTAATGACTTTATAAACAAAGGAACTATTAAACGGCGTGCTTGCCAGCTCCCATGCCTGACAGGTGCCAGTGGGAAGCAGATGCTAATCGCATGTCCTAATAGTCATAAATAAGCGGCCTGGCATTTCCCGTGTCTGTGGCACTGCTAATGGCCGATTTGTTCTTCAGAAATGGCCACCTTGGCCTGTCAATCATCTCTTGCTGTAGGCACTTTTTGGTTATTAGAAGCCCCTTAGAGAGCGAGAAGTCCAAATTAGTTTTACATAAAAAATAAAAATATTCATGCAGCTGAACATCTAAAGGTGAGAGCAACAGCAGAGTCCAGACCGCCAGCCAGGGCCGTGGGACCCAGACCCACTGGGGTCCCTGGGCAGGAGGGCAGGTCGGGGTGAGACAGCCGTCCGAGCGGGAGGTGGGCGCTGGCGGCACTGTGGGGACGTGAAAGCTCATGCAGAGGACGGCCGGCGAGGAGAGTCAGTCTCTGAGGACAGGTCAGCCACGCTGGCTGTGGTCTCCCCGGAGTTGGGGTAATAACTGCATGACCCCGCTCACATCCTTGCTGGGCTCTGGCCCGGGCCCCTGCCTGAGGCACTGGCTCCAGGCATCACCCTGATGGGTGCTGCCCGCTCAGGAGCAGGCCTGGCGCGTGGGACTGAGGATGGGCTGGGCTGGAGGAAGCCGGTGGCTTTGGAGGAGTTGGCATCTGCTGGGACCTGGTGGGGAGGCGGGAGGAGGCGGGGAGGGCACTCAGGCTCGGGACCAGCGGTGCAGGCTGCAGGCAGACACCTCGTGTGTGGGCCTGGGAGTGAGTGCCGGGCCTGAGGGCGACATGGAAGATGGGGAGTCTCCTGAGCCTGCTCCCCGCTCTCAGAAAGCCCTGGCACGAGGGCTGGGGATGGATCCAGGATGCAGGGTGCCCTAGCCAACCTGCTGAGGGGCACTGGCAGGCCGCTGCCTTCCTCTCCTTTCCGAGGGGCGCTCTGGGCCAGGCTTGGGCTCACGGCCCCGCTGGAAGCCCAAGGCCCTCACCAGGGGCCCGCCCTCTGACCCTGTGTCCGAGGTTCCTCCGTGGCGTGGCCAGGCCAGTTCTCCGCTTCTTCTCTCGGCCTCGGCACGTTTCAGCGTGTGGACGGACCCAAGGGTGTCTCTGTCGCCAGCTGACGGCTTTCGGGTGGACTCCATCTTCTGGCTGCTTT